CTGTCCGTTGAGCTGCTGCTTGTCATCCCCCGCCGCTTCTTTTCCTTTCTTCTCCTTAGCAGCAGCAGCTGCTGCTGCTGCTGCTGCTGCTGTTTCTGCTGCAGCAGCAGCTTGCTTCTTGCCTCTGCTGCCGTTGCTCTGTGCATGCACGCCGCGCTTCTGCGGGCTTTGGGGCTGTTCTTCTGTCTCCTTGCCCTTTGTGGCTTTGCTGCTGCTGCTGCTGCTGCTTGCTGCTGCTGCTGCTGCTGCATCTCCACTCTTCTGTCTCTTTAGTGGTGCTGGTGAGTTGCTGCGGCTAACACTCACGCTGCTGCTGCCGCCACGAGCCTGTTTGCCTGTCTTTCCTGCTGCTGCTGCTGCAGCTTTCTTGCTGCTGCTGCGGCCCCGCGTGCTGCTGCTGCGTTCTTCTGTTTTGCTGCTGCTGCGGCTTCTGCTGCTGCTGCGGCTGCTGCTACTCTTTCTTGCTGCAGGGCTGCCGCTAGCACTGCGCTTGCTGCTGCTGCTGTTTCTGCTGCTGCTCCTGCTGCTGGCTTTGCTGCTGCCTCTATCACTCCCGCCCTTGACGCTCTCTGCCTGTGGGTTGCTGCTAGCGGATCTGCTTCTGTTGCTGCTGGGGCTGTTGCTGCGCTTGCTGCTGCTGCTGCTGCTGCGGCTGCGGCTTCTGCTGCTGCGCCCTTCTCTCTGCTGCTGCATGCTCTCCCCTGCCATTCGTTTGTCTTTTGAGCCGCTTCTGCTTCGGGCCTCGGAGCCGCTATCCCTGGGGCTGCTGCTGCGGCGTTTGCTGCTGCTGCTGCTGCTTCTGCTTTTGTTGCTGCTGCCGCTGCGGCTCCTGCTTTTGTTGCTGCTAGCGCTAGGGCTTCTGCTTCTGTTGCTGCCGGCACTGGGGCTTCTGCTGCCCGCCTTGCTGCCGCTTGGGCTTTTGCTTTTGTTGCTGCTGCTGCTGGGGCTTCTGCTTCTGTTGCTGTTGCTGCTGCCGCTGCGGCTTCTGCTTTTGTTGCTGCTCTTGCTTGGGCTTTTGCTTCTGCTGCTGCTGCTGCTGCGGCTTTTGTTGCTGCCATCTCTGCTGGGGCTTCTGCTTCTGTTGCTGCCGGCGCTCGGGCTCCTTTTGCTGCTGCTGCTTCTGCTTTTGTTGCTGCTGCTGCTGCGGCTCTTGCTTTTGTTGCTGCCTTCTCCACTGGGGCTTCTGCTTCTGTTGCTGCTGTTGCTGGGGCTCCTGCTGCTGCTGCTGCTGTGCTTGCTGCCGCTTCTGCTTCTGTTGCTGTTGCTGCCGCTTCTGCTTCTGCTGCCGCTAGGGCTTTTGCTTCTCTTGCTGCTGGCACTTGGGCTCCTGCTTTTGCTGCGGCTCCTGCTTTTGTTGCTGCTGCTGCTGGGGCTTTTGCTTTTGTTGCTGCTGCTGCTGGGGCTCTTGCTTTTGTTGCTGCTGTTGCTGGGGCTTCTGCTGCCGGCTTTGCTGCCACTGGGGCTTCTGCTGTTGTTGCTGCCGCTTCTCTTGCTGCTGCTGCTGCTGTTGCTGCCGCTGCGGCTCCTGCTTTTGTTGCTGCCTTCTCTGCTTGGGCTTCTGCTTCTGTTGCTGCCGGCGCTGGGGCTTCTGCTGCCCGCCTTGCTGCTGCTGGGGCTGTTGCTGCGCTTGCTGCTGCTGCTGCGGCTCTTGCTTTTGTTGCTGCGGTCCCCGCTAGGGCTTCTGCTTTTGTTGCTGCTGGCGCTTGGGCTCTTGCTTCTGCTGCTGCTGCGGCTCTTGTTGCTGCTGCTGCTGGGGCTTCTGCTTCTGTTGCTGCCGGCGCTGGGGCTTCTGCTGCCCGCCTTGCTGCCGCTTGGGCTTTTGCTTTTGTTGCTGCTGCTGCTGCGGCTTCTGTTTTTGTTGCTGCTGTTGCTGGGGCTTCTGCTTCTGTTGCTGCCGCTAGGACTCCTGCTTTTGTTGCTGCCAGCACTAGGGCTTCTGCTTCTGTTGCTGCTGCCGCTGGGGCTCCTGCTGCTGGCTGCCTTGCTGCTGCTGCCGCTCCTGTTGCTGCCAGCGCTGCTGCTCCTCTTGCTTTTGTTGCTGCTGCTGCTGGGGCTTCTGCTTCTGTTGCTGCCGGCGCTCGGGCTCCTGCTGCCCTCCTTGCTGCCGCTGCGGCTCCTGCTTTTGTTGCTGCTGCTGCTGGGGCTTCTGCTGCCTGCATTGCTGCCGCTGGGGCTCCTCCTGTTCTTGTTGCTGCTGCTGCTGGGGCTCCTGCTTTTGTTGCTGCCAGCACTAGGGCTCCTGCTTCTGTTGCTGCCGGCGCTGGGGCTCCTGCTGCTGGCTGCTTTGCTGCTGCTGCGGCTTTTGTTGCTGCTGCTGCTGGGGCTCCTCCTGCTTTTGTTGCTGCTAGCGCTGGGGCTTCTGCTTCTGCTGCTGCTGGCCTTTGGACTGGCCTGCGGGCTGCCGCTGCGGCTCCTGCTGCTGCCTTTGTTGCTGTGTCTGCTTCTGCTGCTCCTGTTGCTGCTCCTGTTGCTGCCGCTGCGGCTGCGGCTGCGGCTTCTGCTGCGGTTGTCAGTGCGTTTGCTGCTGCTGCTTCTGCTTTTGTTGCTGCCGCTGGGGCTCCTGCTGGTTGCTGCAGCAGCAGCAGCATCTGAGCCCTGGCTTCTGCTGCGGTTGCTGGCTGCTGCTGGGCTGCCGCTCTGGCGCCTGCTGCTGCTGCTTCTGTTGCTGTTGCTGGCGTTGCTGTTGCTTCTTTTGCTGCTGCTGCTTCTGTTGCTGCGGATAGATCCGCTTCTGCTTCTGCTGCGGCTTCTGTTGCTGGCAGCAACACTAGGGGCCTTGCTGCTGGCCCTACTCTCTTCTCTCCTGCTGCTGCTGCTGCGGTCTCTGTCGCTGGCTGCAGCCCTCTTGCTGCTGCTGTCTTCGGCATCTGGGCTGTTGCTGCGGCTTCTGTTGCTGCTGCGCACCGAGTGCTTGCTGCTGCCCCTGCTGCGCGCAGAGGGGGACTTGCTGCTGCTGCGTCTCTCAGGAGACACTTTCCTGCTGCTGCGGTTGCTGCTGCTGCGGCGGTGGCTGCTGCTGCTGCGGCGGATCTCTCTCTTGGGGCTTGGGCTTGCAGCTCTGCTGCTGCGGGGAGACATGCTTCTGCTGCCAGCTCTAGGGGAGCCGTCTGCTGCTGCTGCTGCTGCTGCTGCTGCTGCAGGTGCAGGGCTGAAGCTGCGGGCCCTGCTGCCGCTCCTGCGGCCGCTGCTGCCCTTGGAGACAGCTGGACTGGGGCTGCGGCGAGAGGCCTTGGGGGCCCCCCCATCCACACTCATGCTGCGGCCCCTGCTGTCTCCTCTGCTGTCTCTTCTGCTGTCTCCTCTGCCCCTGCGGCGGCTGCTGCTGCGGTCTCTGCGGCTGCGGTGTCTGCGGCTGTGGCTGCAGCAGAGATACACAGAGACAGAAGAAATACATAAAATATATAAAAAAACAGCTAATAAAAAAAACAAAAGGAAAGAAAAAAGAGACAGCAACAGGGGATAAAGAATAAGAGAACAAGGGGAGACAGAAACAGCGGAGGAGACGAGAGAAAAAGGAGACAGGTGAGAGAGAAAAGAAAGACAGAGACAGAAGGAGACAGAAAGGAGACACTAGACAGAAAGGAGACAGATAAGAGACAAGAGTGAGGCAAAGAGGAGACAGAGGAGAAACAGAAGAAAATAGAGAAATAAAGGAGACAGAGAAGAGACAGGTAAGAGAAAAAAGGGGACGCAGAGAGGAGACAAAGAAGAGACAGATAGGAGACAAAAAAGCGATAGAAAGGAGACAAACATGAAAGAGAAAGGAGACAAAAAAGAGATAGAACGGAGACAAAAAAGAGATAGAACGGAGACAAAAAAGAGACAGAAAGGAGACAAAAGAGAGACAGAAAGGATACAAAAAAGAGACAGAAAGGAGACAAAAGACAGACAGACAGGAGANGAGACAAAAGAGAGACAGAAAGGATACAAAAAAGAGACAGAAAGGAGACAAAAGACAGACAGACAGGAGACAAAAAAGAGACAGAAAGGAGACAAAAAAGATACAGAAAGGAGACAAAGAAGAGAGACACAAAGGAGACAAAGAAGAGAGACAGAAAGGAGACAAAGAAGAGACAGAAAGGAGACAAAAGAGAGACAGAACTGCTGCATCTGCCGCATACCTTCGTCTCCTTCTTTTGTGTTTTCTTTCTTTTCTCTTCTCCGGCCTCGCCTCTGCCTTTCCCTCAGCCACCAGCAGCCGGTGCGCCATATCGGTGAGGTCGATATAATACACGCGGCGCGAGTCCCCCATAACAAAGCAACTCTGCACCACACACATGCATGCATGCATGCATGCATGCATGCAGACCCAAACTATGCATGCAGCAGGTGCATGCTGCCACACACAGTGCATGCAGCGGGTGCATGCAGCCCCACACAGTGCATGCAGCAAACGCATGCAGCCACAAATCATGCACGCAGCACACGCAGACAAGCTAGACAGCCTCGCCCGCGCGCATGCATGCATGCATGCATGCATGCATATCACACAGCCCCAGAGCCCAACCCTAGGCAGGAGAGAGACCGGAGACAGCGAGAAGGAAGCAGATACGTTTGCCGTTGCTCCTCCGTGAGTGCATATGTCACAAACAAACATTTCGGGTGTCTAGGCACCTCCATTTTGGGTGTCTATACACCTCAATTTCGGGTGTCTATGCAGCTCGATCTGGGGTGTCTATGCATCTCCATTGGGGTGTCTATGCATTTCGATTTGGGGTGTATCTGCAGCTCGACTTGGGTGTCTATGCATCTCCACTGGGGTGTATCTGCAGCTCCATTGGGGTGTCTATGCATCTCCATCTGGGGTGTATCTGCACCTCCATCTGGGGTGTCTATGCACCTCGATCTGGGGTGTATCTGCACCTCCATTTGGGGTGCATCTGCAGCTCGATTTGGGGTGTCTATGCACCTCAATCTGGGGTGTCTACACACTTCCACTTGGGGTGTATCTGCAGCTTGACCTGCGGTGTATCTGCAGCTCGATGTGGGGTGTCTACACACGTACCCGTTGGTCCGTGAGAGCGAGTCTTTCGTCTCCGGTGTTGAGTACAGTCCCTTCTCCAGGATTTGGTATCCAATCGATCCACATGTGTTTATTTTTAGAGATAAAAGAGGAGACACTTCGTTTGCTTTTTCTTTCTGCAAGTGTCTCCTTTATAGTTTGCGGCAAAAAGGGGACAGTTTTATTCAATAGTAAACGCGTCTGTCCCCCCAACGGCTGCACAAAGAAACAACCCCCCTGCTGATGCAGCTGTCTCGTGGAGAAGTATACCGCGCACTGCTGCCCCGCCACGCTGTTCTGCAGCAACAAACACACACACACACAAAACCCCACACACATCTGTCTCCTCCCAGACTGTCTCCTGTCTCCTCGACCCTGTCTCCTCTGCTACTGTCTCCTTTTCACTGGCTCATAACTACGGCAAGAGCTGTAAATGCTGCTAATACTGCTGCTGCTGCTGCAGCTAGTGCAGCAACTGCAGCAGCTACTGCAGCAGCTACTGCAGCAACTGCAGCAGCAACTGCAGCAGCTACAGCAGCAACTGCAGCAGCTGCAGCAGCTGCAGCAGAAGAAATAAGTGCTCACATGGTTGTCGATGATGTTGGCGTATTTGTTGCTGCTGCCGAACAGCAAATGTGTTCCATTAAAAGGCACCCGCGCAAACTCCTGCACAGCCCCAAAAACAACAAAAAAACTAACACCCAAATGCATGCATGCATGCATGCATGCGTGTATGCATGCATGCGTGTATGTATGTTGCTATAGAAATTTTTCTGCGGGGGATACTAGTATAAGATAGAGGGAAAGAGAAGAGCTAGTGAAAGGAGACAGTAACACTGAACGAGAGAAAAAAAAAAAAAAAAAAAAAAAAAAA